GGAGGAGGAGGAGGAGGAGGAGCAGGAGGAGGAGGAGGAGACAACGGAGCCTGCCCTTCATCTTGACATCTTGAGGCTGAAAGAGGAGGGGATGCCTCGACCCCGAATCGCCCATTGATCGCCGATAGGGGCCCGATAGCCCCAACCTGCACAGGCAGGTCCGGATTCACTATCGGGGGCTCATCGCCGATCCATCGGTGTTGTATCGCCTATTCCGGGTCGATGCACCCACCCTATGACAGTCCCCCCCTATCGTTGCCCCTCAACAGTCGGGGAAACGTAAGAGTCGAGTAAGCCAGAATTCTGGTTTGCCGACGTTCTTTGACGAGCGCGTCCTGGATTTTGACGGTCCCGTTTCCGTGGGATGCTTGCAGCGGGAGCTCGTGTCAAATTTCAGACTGGGTCTCGTCAGTTTTTGGGATGGCCCCGTCAGGCCAACCCGAGTCCCCCGTACCCGAGTCTTACGTCTCCCCGACAGAGTCCGGGACCCTGCATCGCACGAAGCACATAGCCTCAGATGTCCCATGCTGGCGGTCCGTGTGCGGCGTGTGCGTGTGGGGGCCTAGCTCCAGCTGCTTGTGCGCGCGGCCCGCGCTCTCTGAGACTGCAGGACGGCGCAGGCCTGCGGACGTGACCACGTAACAAAGAAATCCCGACGCGGTCAGAGTCCCACCTTGAAGCAAAACGGGGATTCTCGCAATCTTCTTGTGGTTCAAATTATCCCCTCCCCATTCATACCTATGCCTAGCGCTGGCGTGCCAACGACTTCGTTTCCAGCTCCCCATCCCTAGCCCTCCGGTCTCACTTCTTTCTTTATGTCTTTCTTTTTCTCTCTCTCTCTCTCTCTCTCCCCTTTTTGCTTCTCCTCCTTCTCCCGTTCCACGTCCCCCTCCCCTCCCCTTCCCCTCGCCCTCGACGCCGTCGCCGCCGCGGTTTCCGTAGTGATTCTGGCACGCATGAATGCCCTCGTGGACCCCCAATCGCCCAAGTTTGATCCAGATGCCTCCAACCTCGCCTTATGATTCCCAAGCAGTCCCCCCGATTGCCCAAAGATAGGTCAACGAAGGTCCAAGACAGCCCACGAAGCTTCCATGGCTACCCTGGAGGCATACAAGACCGTTCGGCCGAACGCGTGTTGCTGCCGCAGGCTCCGCCGATATGTCATATCGTCTTACTGCAACAGGCTCCACCGATACTTCGTCTAGAAATTGAGCGCGTGCGAAGCGCGCACGGGATGGTTCCTTTACCGATGTAGGGTAAACCGATATACACACATATATCGAAGACGCATACGGCGAATCATCGCGGCCCCCTTCTTTTTTGGAAGCGCCTGCGTGGCCAAAAGTTAGGTTTGAGCTTGGCAAAGCTATCTGGCCACGCATTCCCCGAGTGGGTTTCGAAAGCCTTCGGGGAACACGGAGTCGGGCGAGCTATCGGACCAGGTGATTTCCGAGCTTTCGGGCCTCCTGGAGGACGTCTTGGAGGGTCGTGGGCCGCTTTGGAGGCCTCTGGCGGGCATTTTGGGCAGTCGAAGGCCATCTTCAGGCCATCTTAGGCCGTCTTGGGTGCATCTTGGGGCTATCTTCGCCGTCTTGGAGGCTTTCTTGGCCGTCTTGGAGGCATATTGGAGGCCATCTTGGCCGCCTTGGAGGCCATCTTGGGGGCCTTTTAGGCCGTCTTGGGGTCTTATTGGGGCCCCTCGGGGGCCTCTTGGCATGTCATGGGACCATCGTGGAGGCCTCTTGGGCGCTCTTGGGGCGATTTCGGGGGCCTCTTGGGCCGCCTTGGGCCGTCGGAGAGCTGAAAAGAAGAACATGCCATACTACTTCAACAACCACAAGGAAATCACTGAATTGGGCCTCTTCGGGCCTTCCTGGTGGAGCTCTTGGAGGCATCTTGGGGCCCTCTTGGGCAGTCCATTGAGCCATCTTGGGCAGTCTTGGAGGCTTCTTGGACGAACTTGAAGGCATCTTGGACTCTTGGGCCGTCTTGGGGTCTTGTTGGGGCCCTCTTGGGGGCCTCTTGGCCTGTCATGGGGCCATCTTGGAAGCCTCGTGGGCGCTCTTGGAGCGATGTTTGGGGCCTCTTGGGCCGTCTTGGGCCGTCGGAGAGCTGAAGGAAGAAACTGCGACAATCTTTCAAAAACCTAAGGCAACTCATTGATTGTAGCTTCTTTGGGCCGTCCTGGGGCACGTCGTGGGGGCATCTTGGGCTGTCGTGGAGGCGTTTTGGGCGCCTCTTGGGCCACCTTCGGCTCTGTTGGGGATAGTTCTGCCGTCTTGGATGTCATCTTGGTCGTCTTGGAGGTCATCTTGGCAGTCTTTAGGTGTATTGGAGGCCACCTTGGCCGTGTTTGAGACCTCTTGGGCCGTCTTGGGGCCCTCTTGGGGCTGGCTTGAAGGCCTCTTGGGCCGTTCTGGAGCCATCTGGGATGCCTCTGGGACCAGTTTGGTGACTCCTTTTGTTTGTCTTAGGCGGTCGGAACACCAAAACCGAGGAAAAACACACATCCTTCAAAAACCAAGGGAACATTGAAGACTTTGGCTCCCTCGGGCCTTCCTGGAGCACCTCTTGGACTCCTCTGGGGCAATCTTGGAACCTCTCGCGCCCATCTTGGGCCATCTTGGCCGTCTTAGCGGCCATCTTGGCCGTCTTGAAGCTCATCTTGACCGTGTTGGAAACATTTTGGAGGCCATCTTGGCCGTGGATGCCATCTTGGCCGTATTGGGGACCGTCTGGGGCGAATTGGAGGCCTTTGGCGCCGTCTTGGCGCCCTCTTGGGGCCGTCTTGGGTGCTTTTTGGGCCGTCATCAGGCAATATTGGAGGCTTCTTGGGCGCTCTGGGGGCGATCTGTCGGGCTCCTTGGGCTGTCGTGAGCCGTCGAAAGGCTCGAGAAGAACAAAAGCCAACATCCTTCAAACACCAAGGGACAAACATGAGTTTGACCTCTTCGGTCTCTCGTGGAGGACCTCTTGGAGGCCTCTTGGGCCGACTTGGAGGCCTCTTGGAGGCCTCTGGGGCCATCTTGGGCCGTCTGAGAGATTTATTGTGCGAAGTTGGAGGTATCTTGGACTCTCCTTGGCTGTCTTGGACGCCATCTTGGTCTATCTTGGGCGAACCTGGAGGCCATCTTGGGCCATATTGGCCATCTCGGAAGCCATCTTGGGGCGTCCTGGAGCAGTCTTGGAGGCCTCTTGGGCGCTCTTGAGACGATCTTGCTGGCCTCTTGGGTCGTCTTGAGCCGTCGGAAGACCGAAAAGGAGCAGACTCCCAAACAATTCTTCACAAACTTAAGGATAATCAAAAAGCATCAATGATGTTCGCCTCTTCGGGCTCTCTTGAGACGTTTTGGCGGCCTCTTGAGGCGCGGTGGGAGGTCTTGGGCCATCTTGAGGCCTCTTGGGCAGTCTTGGGTGCATCTTGGGCCGTCTTAAAGACATCTGGGAGCCTTCTTGGGCTCTCTTGGGGCCATCTTCGCCGTCTTGGAGGCCATCCTGGGCGTCTTGAGGGCTTCTTGGGCCGTCTTTAGGTCCCATTTGAGACATCTTGGGGGCCTCTTGGATCGTCATGGGGCCATCTTGGAGGCTTCTTGGGCACTCTTGGGGCGATCTTGATGAGCTCTTGGGCCGTATTGGGCGTCGGAAGGCCGAAAAAGAGCAACCGCCACAATCCTTCAAACACCTATGGTAAAAAAACAATTATTTTGACCTCTTCGGGGCGTCCTGGAGTAACTCTTCTAGGCCTCTTGGGCCGTCTTGGAGGCCTCTTGGAGGCCTCTTGCGCCGTCTTGGGCCGTCTCAGGTGTTTCTTGTGCGAACGTGGAGGCATCTTGGACTCTCTTGGGCCGGATTATAGGCCATCTTGGACCATCTTGGACGAACTCGGAGGCCATCTTGGGCCATCTTGACATCTTGGAGGC